CTGTTTTTTGCTGCTAAATCGGAGGATTCCAGAGCTGCAAATGGCTCTTAGGATCATTTGATATATGAAACAATGAACTTTTACCTCTTTTTTCTTTCTTTCTTTAGTTTGGTTTCCCCTGTGAATAAAGAAAACACTGGCCCCAACCTGGGCCCTTTTGGTCTACAACCGCCACTGTTTGTTTTTGCTTTTCCATATTGATACAGACCTTCCAAATCCAGACTGTCTGTTTAAATTGATAAAAGTCTCAATCTGAGATTGAAACTTTTCTTTCGATTCACGACATGAACTTCTTTGTTTGTGTTTATCTCATCAAATCCCACTGAAATGTGGAATGAATAGATGAGCTAATGAGTGGCCCTTCCATTCACTAGTTTGCTGGTGTCACAGCTGTGTCTGAAACGGCGTCCTGTCTGGAAAAGGTCCGTCATCAGGTGGGCCTTCTCTGAACAGGAAACACAGTTTTGCACCGATTGCTAATAAATATAAATCCATGTTAAATTCAACTAAATTCACTCTTTATCATCTCTTTCTATCTTTAAATGCCAAGAAAAAATCTGGTGTTCAGCATCAAAGTGCAAACAGATGTTTGGAAGCAGCAAGATGTGACAATTGAGACAAGCTCAGGCCTATCATCCACATGCAGCGGGCGTTTAGGGCGTCTATAAAGGAACATTTCTGAAACAAGAGTGAAAATATTTAAAAAGTCATAAGTATGCCCATATATTCTCGTAGATTTCAGCTTGAGTTCCCCAAAATAAAAACAAAACTAACTGGTCATCTCCTAAAATCAATATAATTACTATACTACATAAGTATTTTATATTGTAAAGCACATTATATTATATTTTGTGTAAATTACTTATTTGAAAATGACATATAAGTATTTAAAAAAGTATTTTGAGTTGCTTAAATTGGACATTTAATATTGCATTTAAATCATGTATTAAATAATTAAATTCATTTTACAATGACTTATTTCATGGTATATTTATTTCAGTCATATTTATGTATTTCATTAAATGGGAAACCCCTGCTCTATGCAAACACAATGACATCAATGGCACCAAAACATTGTTGGTCTGTGTATATCCAGTTCTCTTCATTGCAAAAAGTGATCTAAAAAAAAAGAGTAAAAACATTTAAAAAACAAACAAAAAAATCAGCATAGGAATGAGGATTTTTAACATTAATTTGATAAATAATTAGATAATTATGCACTTGAAATAATATTATAAGGTTATTTTTCCTTATTTTAAATGTTTTTGTAGGGGCATTTTCTTAAATCAAGGGAAAATGCACTTTTTAACAAAAATTAACATAGATTTGTAAAGTTTTGCACTGTTCTGGTATAACTTCATGCATTTACTGTGGAATCACACGATGGCCTAATCATAAGCCCCCCCACTAACCCCCGTTTGCATGTTCCCAATGAGGGTCCGCCATGTTAAGGGTCATTCCAAACCATGTAGTGGGGAGGGCTAGCGGACCGTTCAGCCCATAAATAGCAAGTCTGCATGAGTGCAGCCTTGCTGGGTTTTGGCAGCGGGTGTAACGGTGAAATAGTGACAGAGGAACCACATGGATTCAAATGTAAGATCCACTGGTTTACTGCATCTCCATCTCAGGAAATCACAAGTTAGGAAAAAGAAAAAAAAGACGTCATTAACCCCTAAAGTGAAGGTCCTCTATTTAATAGTTTTTTGACTCTATAAATTTATTTTAAAGAAAGGAACAAATGTTTGATTAATCTCAAGCTGCGCATCAAAGCTACAGCCATGCACATGCACACTGTGTTGTCATAGAAACGATTATGTTCTTTTTCTGGTGGACTGAAGAGGCTATCCCATTCTCATTTATACCCTGCCACCTTCAATTCTATGGATCTAGATCGGTCTCAGCTTTCATAAATACACATATGTGAGTTATACATGTACAGGACAAGATCCACAGACGCACAGAACGTTTCACACAAGAACAAAACATCCACGCACACACAGTACAAGGTCCACACATGCCCGGAACATTTCACACAAGCACACAAGATCCACATACTCACAGACCGATTCATACAAGCACACAAGATCCACACACTCACAGAGCGATTCAAACAGCACACAAGATCCACACACTCACAGAGCGATTCACACAGCACACAAGATCCACACACTCACAGAGCGATTCACACAAGCACACAAGATCCACACACTCACAGAGCGATTCACACAAGCACACAAGATCCACACACTCACAGAGCGATTCAC